CATACAATGAACCCTAAGATACAAAACAGCAAGCAACCTAGTGAGAGACATCAAGAAGTAGTTATTGCGCGGTTTTTCCCAGTTTTACGTCCGTCCGCGGATCTGCTTTTTCGAGGGAAAACGTCCAAAACGTACGAAATACTGTGCATAACTTCTCGTAGGATTTCATACGAACTGATAATGAGAATACGTTGAGCATGTTAGCCCGCTGCTTCTCTCGCGCAAACGTAGGTTCATCATTAGCTGTTAGTTTGTGTCGTTGGACAGATAAGTCTGTATTTCAGGTGTTTGTTGTGCTGTTAGGAGCTGATCTACAGTGATGACATCACAGAACCATAAATCAGACACTACAAACAGCCTGAGCATCACGGTTTATTCCTAAAATGATTTCACCCTATTTATCTCAATGAAATATTCTTAATTTAATCATTTATTCTTTGAATTGTCCAAATTAGCCAACGAAGAACCCGCCTTAAACCAAAAGTCCTTTTTTCTTAAAAGTCTCACACAGAGAAACAGACTGAGTGCTGATGGCAGAATGAGATTATTTAGAATATAAGTCATAAATAAACAGCATCTTCTCTCCAACAGTCAGTCCATGACATCAATGACTTAAAAGAAAAGGTACGCGTGTAAAACAAAAAACTCTGACAATATTGCTCTCATTATTGTTTTGTGATTTTTGAAACATGAGGTCAGTCAGAGTCTGTGCTGCTAAATAGTGAGCGATGAATGAAGCATCAAGCAATGAACCTTTAGGTTGGAAGGATTCATTTGTTCATCACTACAAGGCAGAGAAGGAACTCTGGATGTTTACCAGCTGCAGCCTTTCAGCCAGCTGACCGACTGCTGACCGGCTGCTTATGAAGGATGGGAGGCAGGTGGGAGGAATGAGGCGTAATTAGCCTGAGCAGCACAGCAGGAGCAGATCACTAATCAGCAGGAGGGAAAGAGAACACAGACCAGTAGAAAAGCTAGAAACATGTTACAGATTTGGAGATATTCTGCTAAATGTGAAAATTCAATGTTTGGCAGTTCAGGTGTTTCCATTAAATAAGAAATACAATTAAAATAACAGATTATAACTCCTGAAAACAACATGGAAGCAGCAGATGTAAACACATGAGAGGTATCCATGTTTCAGCCACTAGTGGGCGCCATCGTCCTCCAACTGCTTCCAGTTTTGCAATATTAAGAATTTCATTTAGACCAAAATCGATAGAAAACACACGTTTTTTTTTTCTTTTTTATTACAGTTTTTTTTCCATTTAGCAAATAAATTTAGGATAATTACATTTTGAGCTTCTTTAAGATGCCTAAAAAGAAGTGGATTTGGGTCACGCTTAATTTATCAGTTGATTTTAAATAAAAGTCCAACTGATTCTGTTGAAGGAAACAAAAAGAGAAAATATGAAAACAGTTTGTGGAGAGGCTGATATGTTTTCTGAGATTTTAGTTATAATTTTTGCTATAATAAGGGATAAAAAAAGTTTACCTGCATTAGTTAGCTTTACCCATTATGACAAACATAATGCGAATAAGTCTAAAAATCAGTTAAGGAATAGTACACCCAAAACATGATTAGCCTTCATTTTCTACTCACCCCCATGCTGAACAACACTCTGGAGTACTTTTTTGATATCTCAAATGCATCTGGAGATCTGGGAGGCTTCTTGCTGTCTGCTGACATTCAAATAATGGAGGTCTATGGCGCCCGAGGCAGAAAGGTCCATAAAAGTCCACAAAAAACGTGTCAATATTCCTCCATACTGCTCGTCCAATGTATTCCAAGTGTCCTGAGTGGGTAGCATCCAGAATTTACTCGAAACGAAGTCATTTAGAATGTTTTTAGAGCATAAACAGTAGTGTATAGGATTTCCTGAAAGCGCGCGCCTGCGCGTTCACGACGCTACGGAAGCCGGCAGACCAAACCAGATGAAAGTGCGCATTCAGCGTCTGCTCTGCCGATAATGCAAGCGTAGAAGAAGAAATGTGCTGTTTACCTGTGCAAAGAAAGAAACAACGAAAGAAAAATGTCTGAGGACTTCAGTGTTGAGGAAGAGCATGAGTTCTTTGCCGAGCTGAATGCGCACTTTCGTCTGGGTTGGTCTGCCCCGGTTTCCGTAGACTCGTGAACGCGCTTTTAGGAAATCCTATACACTACTGTTTATGCTCTAAAAACATTCTAAATGACTTCGTTTCGAGTAAATTCTGGACGCTACCCACTCAGGACACTTGGAATACATTGGACGAGCAGTATGGAGGAATATTGACACGTTTTTTGTGGACTTTTATGGACCTTTCTGCCTCGGGCGCCATAGACCTCCATTATTTGAATGTCAGCAGACAGCAAGAAGCCTCCCAGATCTCCAGATGCATTTGAGATATCAAAAAAGTACTCCAGAGTGTTGTTCAGCATGGGGGTGAGTAGAAAATGAAGGCTAATCATGTTTTGGGTGTACTATTCCTTTAAATCAAGCAGGAAGTGACTTAATCTGCTAAAACGTGACGTCATCTCTGACCCCACAGAACAGAACCAACATGACGTACGAGAAGATGTCGCGAGCACTGAGACACTACTACAAGCTGAACATCATCAGGAAGGAGCCCGGACAAAGACTCCTGTTCAGGTACGCCGCCGTCGCTCGGCCCCGCCCCCCCCTCCGATAGCGGCCCCGATAACCTCCGCCTTCCATCTCCGCAGGTTCATGAAAACCCCCGACGAGATCATGAATGGCCAGACGGAGCGGCTGGAGCACCTGGAGTCGGACACAGACGAACAAATTTACATCAAGGAGGAATGTTGAGCAGGACTTCTTTACTACAACCAGCCGCCGATGCCTTTCAGACGCAGCTTCAGTTCAAAAACAAACGGACGGGGGGAGAAAAGGAACCTCTCTCAATGCCTTAGGATGATATTCTTCTGACATACTGTAAAATGATTGAATAAAAAAGTGCTTTGGTGTGTCTGAGAGCGAGCGCTCAGACGGTAGGATTTCTATTTCTGTGCTGCAGAAGCCAATCACTTGTGTTTATCTGATTTTTCTTTGGTTTTTCTTCTTTTTGTTTGTTTCTTCATGGATCAGATCTTGGAAAATTGCAATTTGTAAAAAAGCAAGCGTGCGTGTCTGAGTGAGTGTGTGAGAGGACCGTTTTCACCATGAAATAAAAACTTTTGATCAACCTTGTCATGTGCTGTTTCTTAAATATCCTCAAGGTGGCAGCAGAGGGCAACTTTTGCAGCGCCTTTACCTGATGAGTTTACAGCCTCTGATTTTTCAGGCTTTTTAAACTTTAACACATTTAGTAACAAAACTAAACATTTTTATTTTATTTTATTGGAATTTATTAAAATAAAATTAAAAAGTAGAGCAAAAACTTACCAAAAATAGAGCAGCTAATTTAACTTTACTACCAGAAACAATGACTGTACACCTAAATATTTAACATTATGTCTCCGTCCCACTATCAGCTTTGGCCACTTTTAAAGTTGAAATATTTATAATAATATATAATATAATTGGATTTGGTTAATAAAAACTATCATCTTCAGCCAAACTTTATAATTTCCTCCTTCTGAGTATCTCAAGGTTAAATGTTCAAACCTTTTCATTTTTTTTCCCACACTGACAAAAAATAATTAAACTGCTTTTGTGATTTACTACATCATATTTAGTTACTTTAACACAATTATTTAATGTCCTACCCTGCTAATATAAAAAATGTGTTAAAATAGCCTAATGTGAATGAAGTAAACGCCTAAAAATGGTTGCATTATTTTTTTTCAGTGTAAAGAAGAAGAAACAGTTCTTTAAAATGTTGCATGCTCATATTTTATGGTAGAATTGAAATAATGCAAATTAATGGTAATTTTATGTTTCTTGGACATTATATTTTGGCCCTTAAATACTTCAGACTTGTTGACAATTTTTAACACCTCTGGTTTAGAGGCTTAAAGAAGAGAAGGAAATCCAAGGCATCCATTATATGACTGATTATGGGCAGTTATAGATTATTAGGAATCAAGTTAGTAGAACTCCAATCCCTCTCAGGACCAGAATATAATGCAGCTTGATGTGTTTTACTGAAACCCGGCTGCTGGATCGTATCTCAGACCTGAGCGTCACTCCATCCTGTTTTCTAACCAAACGAGAGTTAAAGAAGGCTGGAAAACAAGAGTATGAAAACACGTTTACACACCATTAAGATGTAACCCCAGCAAGGAGATCAATGTGTCACATTTGGACATAAATAACTTTATTGGATTTCTGGATATCTAAAATATTCTTAATCTCTATAATATGATTAATACATTTAAAAACTAAAAGCAACATTTTCCATTGTGACACTCCGGGCACCCCATAACTGCCACAGTTCCTTAAGTAAAAAAAAAAAGGTTTAAATATTTAATAAATTTGGAGGAAAGTCTAAGAAATAAGTGCGTTTATAAACCTCTCTGAGGTTGAAACCATGAGCTTTAAAAACAAAAAGGTAAATTTTAGATTTTTTGCTGCAAACACGCAAGAAGTTGCCTTCTTATTCACACTGCAATGTGTGCTTCCCACCAGAAGGGGGCGTAAGCCCTGCACACAGGCCAAGTACCCGCAGGTGATGAATCTTTCATTCAAACACCGCAGTTTGCTTTGGATTTGATTTAAAAATGTTAAGAAAAGGTACTGATGAAATTCTATTCAGTTTATTTCTATAGCTCTAATTCACATCATGTGATCTCAGGTCACTTTCCAGTTCAACCAGATCATCCAGTCAGATTGATTGAAGTTTTCTATCTAAGGAAAACCAGCTGATTGCATCGACTCATTGACTCTTCAGCAATCCCTCACACT